ATAGATACATGTAGCTTGTTTTCTCTTAATAATAGAGAGGTCGGATTTAATTCTGACAGATTAACTTCTGAATRCCCGCAACCATTTATAAGTCTATAAAAAATGAATGTAATGCATGGTTATTAAGAGTGGATGCCGGTAAGAATCAAACATTTTCAAAAAATCTTGCCAACTCTTGAAAAATCGATTTCGCTCATACTCTGAACTTAGGTACCCTATTATATAAGATAAACAACCATGTATTTGGTTTTTGAAAATAACGTTTCATTTATGAGTAAATTGAATTTTCGTGGAACGATGTAAATATGCTAATTTTCGAGCTATGAAATGGCGATAAACTGATGGCCTCGTTTGGTTAATGCAGCAATGTTTCATGCTTAAAACATTTATAAGATAAAAATATCACCCATTGTCTTTCATTTGGGGGAGTTTTAAACTTGTGACTTATATCTAAAATTTCTGGCGAATTTTTATAAATAACACCTGTTTTTGATCGTTAAAACTAATATCAAAATAGCCGTCGATTTTCATAGAACTTTGCCTTCGCCAAAATTTGTTTTTGTACATACTAAAAAGGAATGATTTCAGCAAAACAAAAAGAATTGTAGCAATTCAAAATTTGATTGGCACGTATGAGTAATTGATTTCCTTTGTGCCCGCGCGCACGGCCGCCGAGCTGCGTTTAAGAAAATTTGTCTAGAACACTGGGTTTACAGCTGGGGTTACAACACTGGTTTGTTCTAAGCCCGATAAGGGATAACTCTTAGAAAACCTATGTTTAACCCTGGATTAACGCAAATCGGGCTTTGAACAACCCGGCCCAGTACTATCGACTATCTACTATTGCCCATCGTTCCGACTTTTCCGTGCCTTGACAAAGCGATCTTTTGTCACTCTACATCTGGAATTTGAGCCTCTCCTCCAGTCAAAACCAAGGTTTGCACGATCACCAAGGTTTGCACGATGATTTGGACAAATTTTCATGTCAGTGACTTTTGAAGTGATTTTAAAGAGGGATGCGCGACTAAGAATAAGTTCGATTTTGTTTTCAGGACCCCCGGGGGAGGAGGAGGGTACTCCCCCCAAACATGGGTTGGGGGTGTGTCGCTGGGACATCAAAACCCTGATCCTGTTCCAGAGTGAAATCGCTGAAAACTATCCCCTGTTCCAGAGTAAAATCGCTGAAAACTATACCCTGTTCCATAGTAAAATCGCTGTAAAACAATATCCTGTTCCAAAGAAAATCTTGTACTACAATCGTTGACAAGAACCTTGGCCTTGAACCATTCCAGCGAATTTCCTCATTTTAAGCAACACCCGCAGACAATTTCATCCCCCCTGACCCCCTAAATGCAATGTTSTCAWTSATCATGTTACCATAGTACACAAGCATCCAAAACAAGACCCAACATTGATGAAAGGGGGCTACGGGGGAAAACTGTCAAAAAATAAAGGAGAAAAATGTTAGACTGAAGGCAAATAATTGTACGGTCCAAGGTATTTTGGCAACGATTGTAGCTTGCGTGTAGACCGAATTTTTACCCCGTGAATTTTTACCCAGCATCAATAATTCCGGAATTAAACCCTGACCCTGTTTCAGAGAAAATTCGTTGAAATCGATAGCCTGTTCCAGAGTAAAATCGCTAAAAACGATACCCTGGTTGGCGGCATGTCCCTGTATAGCGAATATAGGGGAGTACCCCTCCTCCCCCCGGGTTTCAGGACCTGTGAACTTGAATGCCGTCTTGTGCTTCGAAATGTTTTACTGTATGAAAGCAACGGCATTATTTGTTTTTCATTAGCTCGATTAAAAGGACAATTTCCTCCGAGGGATCTAAATGAACAAAACGTCCATGTCGATAGTACTGTCTTGTAAACAAATTCTCCAAAACGGCCGCGCGCGAAGGCAAAGTTCTGAAAATCTTTTAATAAAACAGATAAACAACAAATAAAGTTTTACGATAAGAGTTAAAAATAGCATCACATCACTTAGGGCGCCTAATTAACCACAGGAAGCCCAACAGAAGATCAAGAATGGCCTGATTAAAAGTGATTAGAACGTCTCAAAACACAAAAAGTCTCGAGATAAACGCAAGGTAAATGTTTAGTTCAGTTTATGCTTGATCTTGGGTATGAAAACACAACATAAAGCGATCTATTTTGTTGACGTTTATCAACTTGTTGGTTTCACACCTGTTGAAAATATKAATATTTCGGTAACTTTGGTCGGTTCTAGCGAAGCATAAACACATTTACCCAAGGATATTTTTACATAGATCGAAAGAACTCTTCCTTGACATTTTATCCTGCAAAAATCATTTGATTTGATCATATCGGTCTTTGTCAAATCGACGGCTATTTTGATAGTAGTGTCATTTATAAAAACTTGCCAGAAATTTTAGATATTAGCCACAAGTCTAAAACTCGCCCAAATGAAAGAAAATGGGTGATATTTTTATCTTATAAATGTTTTAAGCATTAAACATTGCTGCATTAACCAAACGAGGCCATCAGTTTATCACCATTTCATAGCTCGAAAATTAGTATATTTACATCGTTCCATGAAACTTCAATTTACTCATAAATGAAACGTTATTTTCAAAAACCAAATACATGGTTGTTTATCTTATATAATADGGTACCTAAGTTHAGAGTATRAGCGAAATCGATTTTTCAAGAGTTGGCACGTTATGTTTGATTTTTACTGACATCCGCTCTTAACCCTTTGGAAACAATCCCAAAATAATACAATAGAACTATGACGTCAATGGTGTCGTCGCATATTTGGCGCCAGAACTTAAACATGTCTTTAGATTTTTTAAGGTTTAAACCTCAAGATATTCGCCTCAATGCGTTTGGGGTTTTACCTTACTTTTGAGTGACATTAGGTGAACTATAACCTTCGAAATGTATTTTTACGGAAGAGATAAACGATAAGATTCACGATTCATTCTTTGATCACTAAGCATGAGAAACGATAAGATTCATGACCTTTGAAATGAATTTTGGAAGATATAAGATTCATGATTCATTCTTTGATCACTAGCACATGGATTTACCATTTGTAAAGTGTGTTGGTTAAGCTTACTTACCAAATGCTCTAAGAATGGTGGCTTAGAATAACCTGCACTGTCATTCCTTCTTTGGGCTGTCCTAAAACATCTTTCGCCGATACAGTGCTAACTGTATCTTCTTTGATCCACTGGACCACAAAAAATGACATTTTTAAGAGTATAGTTAAAGTAAATGTAGAAAAAGCTTTCAGCGTTTAATAAGCAAGTGAGGTCGCGACGCGAATAACGTTCGAAWAGAGCGGGCTTTGAGTTTGTTTATGGACACGTGATGATGTCGACCAATCAAAAGAAAGAATCAAGAAGGGCACGTGAGCAATACGTGACCTCGGACCATTGTTGTGAGCACTTCCTGTGAATGTTGACCAATCAAAAAGGCCAGGAAATATGAGAAGTGGTGCGTTCTGTACCAGGTGAATTGACAACTCAAATGTGACTCAAATGGTTGTTTATAACGTGAGTTCATGGCATCAAATACATCAACCTTTCACGATAGCGAACACGAYTATTATAAAGAGATTCAAGCAGAAGACTGTACAAAATTCCAATGTTTAATTTTCGGTCGTGTTTTGTCAAGAAAACAGAGAGTCGAGGAGCATATAACAAAGATTCATTCAATAGGTAAGCTTTATAATAATACTCAACAGTCTGACGCATCAAAATGTCTATATAAATCATAAATCAACTTCTTTCTATTCTCCAGAGTATCGGAAAAGAAAATATAAACTATATTTGAATGACAAGTCTCTTCCAATTCCAAAGCAAACTCGGCACAATCAAAGACTCAAAACCTATCTTCAGAAAAACAAAACCTATCTTCAGAAAACATGAGATCAAAAACAAAGATGAAATACCAATCGCTGCCGAAAGGCTTAAACAGCAATTACAAKCTAAATCACAACGGATCCGKCGCCTTGATAAGAAACAAAAGTTCTATCGTCATAATAAGACCGCAAATCCTGAAATGTGTCCAAAATGGCTGACATCTGGAATTACCTTTCTCTTGCCGAAAAATGAAGAAACTGCAAATCCCAAAAATTATCGGCCAATCACATCTTAACCAACAATGTATAAGATCTTAAGAGCGGTTTTCCGAGACCGTCAAGCAAGGTTGGTAAAATGAGAAAACTCAAAATCCTTCAAACTTTGTCATAAAATTGCATTTGGTGAGCTGGTCGTGCTGTGTGAGTTTGGGTTCAATCAGGATAATATTCGGGAAGAAAAGCGACAATGTTTGATTTCAATGTTTACTTCCGGTTTTTTCGCTTAATTTAGTGCACTGTACAAAACGCAAAATAACAGCAAACTTTCTTCGTTTTGAAATGAAATCGAATTTCCTCTACAAAATATATACATTTCTTTGTTATATTACAAAATATTGCAATAAAATATTAGAAAGAGAATATTTTACGGATTTTTCATTAATTAACAGTTTTTCGAGCTAAATTTACTATGCACGAATAAAGCCCAATTAACTCCAATGTTATATCGATTTAGACATTGAAATCATAACTGTTTTAACGTCTTAAGATGGCTTATTCAAAATATGGAATAAAATTTTTGGGCAATTCAAATCGTGATTTTTGGCGATTATTTTTGTAAGCGGTATTTTAACCGAAATTCGAGCTTTGTTGACATCTCTGGCACACACGTGCGAAGTCACGCAATTCGAAGCAACTTTTAAAACATGCCATTTCCAAGGAAAGTTTTAAAAAGAGATTAGGTTTGGTCTGGAACACAACGCTGTTACTTAACCATGCAAAAGGAACAGTCACATCTCGTAACATCAACATTAATAGTGGTATCTTTCAAGGTGATTCACTCTCGCCACTTCTCTTTTGTGTTGCTCTTGCACCATTATCTTCTCTTCTCAATGATAGTGGATATGGATATAGAACAGGTGGTCAAGTAATCAATCACTTGTTCTATATGGATGATTTGAAGACATACGCAAAGACTGATTATGAACAAACAGGCTTACTTACCATTGTGAAAGGCTTTAGTGATGATATCAAAATGGAGTTTGGACTAGATAAATGTGCGAAAGCAACATTTAAGAGAGGAAAGTTAATAAGTGCTGAAAACATCGAACTTGATTTACAAACGACCATCAAAGATCTTGACCAAGAGGACACCTATAAATACCTTGGTGTTAATGAAGGAGATGGACTTCAACACTCAATGATGAAGGAAAAGATTCGCAAAGAGTATTA